GCATCAATCAATCAGTTTAGCATCGCGCAGTTTTCTCTATTTATAAAGCCGCATCGCACAATGCAACGAAAGATACGTAGCGATATGTGACACGGATAAATTTTTCCCAGCATGATGAATGAACTTTAATTCGTCAGACTTTGCGGACTTGCAGTGAACGATGTTTGTCACACCGCGGAATCCATTCGTGCACGTCCACGTTTCTGCAGCGTGCCGAGGAATACGTTCGCGGCAATGAAGTCTGCGGGCTATGCCCCGTTGTAACTGGCAGCTAAATTAAACTTTGTTTATCAGTCCATAACGATTTTCCATTTTTTATCCCGACCAACTCCGCGGGGCTCCACATTGCATTAGAATACTGCCCGTTTTCATTTCATCCCCGACCGCAAATCGTTCTCTGGCGCTCTGATTTAATTGTCAAAGGTCCTCTTTTTTTTAAAAGAACCTCGCCCAAAATGGACCATTGACGCACAATATTGAATCATATGCTATTTTGTAGGTATTGTTGTGTACATCATTAGACAAATATAAGTTTTATTTCTGGGACAATGGGCGGAAGAAGTTATGACCGGTTCAATTATGAGTAAAAATATTATTTTCTATAAAATTAGTGATATTATAATATTCAAGTTAATTAATGTAACATTTTTAGTGCCAATTAGCTAATATTACTATAATATGATAATATGCGAAATTCATACCCTAGAAAGTATCTTTCTTCACGTTTTTGAGACTTGAGACTATTATTATTTTTGTCAACCTCCTCAAATCCATGTAGAAGTCAAGGGTGTGCGTTCATGGCTCAACATCCATTAATAAAATAGGCGAGGTTCTTTGTTTGCCGATGAACTGCATTCGCGTTCGCACATAAATACTTTTCGTATCGAAGTTATTTGCGCGACGTATCCGGGATAAGAGGATTTTCGGTATCGTTTGCATGGACTCTCTTTCTCTCTTCCATGTAAAGCGTAGCGTAATTGAGACGCAAGGCAAGATTAAAAGCTAGGTGTGTCGTGTGCTTGGCAGCTTACCTTGTACGTAGAAAGGTTCGCCACGACGCAGGAGAGGATAGCTTCTCTTCCCACTGGGACTGTCACGTTTGTTATTGGCGCGCTGAAGCTCGGTCCCTCTGAAACAGGGCGACGGGTAAATGCTAAGTGACCCATTAACAACATTTCGTTATATCGTCTGACCACGCTCGAACGCCATTAAAGCGCATCGGAAGGATAGCGCAAGATCATCGCGTTCAACAACGATCAAATTTACCGCTAACGCAAACTATCTACCTATACTGGGGCGCGACACATCCAAAAAACGTAATAAATTTCGTATGATTAAAAGCTCAAGTTAACACTTAATTAAATTAATTGCCAAACGAAATGGAAACACGCTGGCCTCCGGCACGTGGAAACGCGACATGGAATCCTGTGTAGCTCGTCCGAAAGGATCAGCGATACTAAATTTTCTATTATGTAATACGATTAATTACGATTAGCGCGATGTCAAGGAGCATAATAAATTAAACTTAAATATTATCAAAGAGCGCGTGATTAAACTTAAATTGGCAATTTATTAAATTATTCGACAAACGAAACGGCGGTACACGCATGGCTCTGACACGGAATGCGAAATATTGAGTTCCGTGCGGCTCAGCGAGACGAATCGATAAGAACGATGATCCGATAAGACTCAAAAGAACATGAAATTTCTAATATATCGGAGAGATTCCCTCCGAAAATCTAGCCAGATGACGCGTGACACCGCACCGTCTAGTCTGAGCAACTCATTTCCGGCATTTCGCTGTATCGGCGGTATATATGCTGCCGAAAATTTACTGACGCGAAACAGTTTGGTTTCGCGCGACACATCACACACGCGCAGCGAGCAGCCAACGCTGGCACGTGTACGCTGAAATATGTCTCCGTATCCATCCCGAAATGTTCACGTTCCTCGACAGCGCGCCGCGTCTACGCTGGAAGTTCTGGAATATCATTACCGCGCCGGCACTCCGTCGTTGCCGGGAACACCGCGCGCTCGTCCTGTCTGTAACGTGCCCGCCTGCCCGCGTCTCTCGCCGCGCCGTTACCGGTGCCATCCTTTTCGCGACGGCAGAGATTATTTAAACAAAGCTATTTACGTCACGTATCACGGACACGACAACTCATGCGCGATTCGCGATACATCCGCACACGGCTCGCAACGCGAGACCGTACGTGTGTATTCCAGATAGGGAGAAAAAAAAACGAAATTAACTGATCTCGGCTTTTGATACGCTAAATAATGGAAATCAATCAGGTTAGATCATATAGCGAATTTGTCCGCGATGATTTAATCCTCGGTGCAAATATTGCCACGGTACACACACGTTCTGTGCGTGAAGAAGGTGCAGGTATCGGAAGAAGGTAAGGGGTGCGCGAGGAGGCGGCGAAACGCGGGCGAGGAGATCGAGACTGGAACACGGTGTGCGCCAACAGATAAGCACTGATCCCAATTACACGTCGGAATAGAGCTGTTCCCAAGTTGAGCGGATCATGGATTATTGACTCCATCGCGATTACTCCCGCGGTCGTCGACACAATTGGTCCGATCGATACGTCTTCGATCATCTATGTTTAGCTCGGAACTGAAGCGAGACTGCCGGGCAGTTTTAGTCCCGCCTTCGTAATACCGCGACATATTCATCATTCCGCTCTGCCGTGCATCGAAAAACTGCAAAATCCTTTTCGGTTAAGAATATCGCACAACTTTGCCGCGAACTAAAATAAAATAACAAACACCAGACCTCCTAAGGTATTTTTTTACAGATATGCAGTGTACATCGATTCACTTATTTTCTGTACATTTTTACATTTCGTGATTTATAGACGCAACTTATCAGACGCTTCAGAAATGTTGTATAGATATTAATTACGTGGAAATAACGGAACTTGAAAAAGTGTACGTGTTTCTAAATATTAACTAGAACCGATGTGAAAATCAAATCTGCGATACGTCGTCTCGATACTCTCGATCAAGGGGCAGAAACTACGGTAACTTTCTTTCCGTCCGCTAACATGCAATCTCTGCCGATCGAAGCAACTCGACGCACCTGCGATCCGCCACTGTGGACTCGGGGAAATTGAATTCAGCAAGGAGAGCCAGCTAGCCCGGGCTCGGTCGAGTACTCGCAGACACATGTAGTATACCATCAGGAGCAGACCGGTGAGAATGAAATTGAGATTGCGGACCATATCATCCCCCGGAATCGCTCAGAAATGGTAATTACAGATCGGCAAATATCCTGTTAATAGCGGCCGATAACGCAATAATTAGAACGCGTACAGTATCTTCGCGGCTTCGCTTTAATCAGGTCTTTGACTATTCCCTTTAAAAATCGCTCTCCCACCGCGACACAATAGCGGAATATTTTATATGATCTGTCACGCGCGCAATCTCAATTTATCGTCCATTATAAGACTCGTGTTTGTCGAGACACCCACGCAGAGTCCGAAGAGAGGATACAATACACAAAATTAATCAAACGCCTTGATTCGATTCTATTCAGTCGTGAAGCGGCGTGTCGAGCGGCGAGATCGTCGCGTCGCCGCGCCATCGCCGCTCTGTCACTTCTAGAGGACTGAATAGCGGAAATAGATTCGAAACAGTGGGCCGCGCTGAGTGATCGCGCGGCCCACCACCGATGATTAATCGGGGCGCTCCGGCGGAATAGAATTATTGTGTCGCGACAACAATAAATGACACACGCACAATCACAGCGGCCAGACTGGCCTGGCCTCTTGTTGCCGTCGGCCAGTCTGGCCGTCACTTCGACACTCGTTCGCCGTGCATTGTTTTATTTCCGGACGAGAGGACGGACCCGGCCGCGCAGTCCGCTCGATCCCTGCAACTCCCATCGCGACCGGTAGATAAACGCTTTTCTCGCAGGTACGGGCCGAAACGACGCGCCAATTTGCTGAATCGTAATGAAAAAAAAAAGAGAGAGAGAGAAAGAGAAAGGGAAAGAGGAGAACCCTTGTTCCGAACTACTTCCTCCCGCATTATTCCGCGGTCCGTTCGGTACGCGTGATTCGTTCAAAAAGCTTTAATCCCATCGTCGCTGCTTTTCACTTAATTGCTTTTTCTATGTTACCTGGCGGGAGTTATTACGTTAACTCCCCCCCCCTCTGTGTTAAACAAGGAACACCGGCGACGCGCGAAATAATCACGGTGCAAGAAAGAAGCGAGGTAAATGAGTTTTCGGACCGCTGAGCCTCATTCTACGTCTATGACGTGCACTTCCGCGTTCACGGCACCAGCGTTCACAATGTTTTCTATCAATGTCAGCTTTAATCGATTCGACCGCGACGCGCGTGCTCACGCGAGTAGGTACATGTCGGGGTACAGGCTGAAAAGGAATCGTGTCGTATAAATGTCACGGTGTACGCGATTTAATTAATACACTGAGCGGGATAAAATTTCGACTAAAGAGAACGGCGTTTGAACATTTGTCGAGGGAGGGCGTTCGAAAAATTTATTTTTTCGAGGCGAAGCGAACGCCATGCTGTTTCATAGCGATAAAGCTCTTCCACGCGCGTTGCTTACAAAATAAAGCGAATGTGAATTTGACGCATCCATATTCGTCGGAAGTTTTTGTAGAATCGCTACAAACTAACGAAATAGTCAGCTTGGAAAATATTTCCTTTTTAGAAAACGGTCAGCATTCGTCCAACGTCCAGGCGTGGAACGACATTTTTATTTGTGAGTAGAGGGAAAAAGAATAAAAGAGATATAGAAATATCCGATCCGAATAGAGGCCCGATAGAGTTTCCACCACTCTACTTCGATTTCTCTGCCCATTCACGTATTACTTTCAACTGTTGAATTTGATTAATTGGAACAACGTTCCGGAGCGCGAGAAAGTACTCAAACTGCAATGTAAACCGAAACGCAGCAACGCGCGGCGCGAAAACATTTTTCTAAATATCTCTCACGGTTTACTTGCACGCTGTTAAGTGCAAGTGCGCGATAGCAATCCCGCGCAATGGACGTGAATGTTGCTCGAAACAATTTTTGCGGCGCATAAATTGCTTGAAATATATACACCACCGCGCTGATTATCACATTTTGTCGAATATACAATTGGCAATAAATTAACGTCGAGCTGTACGTTACTTGGTAATTAAACGTATTGTTACGATATTGAGGGAGATTCAGATAATAGAAGAATTATCAGTAGGGGAGGACGGGGGAATTGGCACCAGTTAAGAAAAAAAAAATGTAAGTATTATAATCACCGAATATTTATTTCAACTTTTAGTAATTTAATTCAAAAAACATTAAGGACGTTCTCTCGTTCTTATACTAGAGAAAATCGATTTTTTAAGGATTTTTTTGAAACTGTGAATATACGTTAATTTAGGTGTGCTTTATGCGTGGTATAAATTTCAGTACCTCTTCCGGTATAAAAAATAAAGATACTGAGCCTCAAAGTTTCAAAAAAAATTTTTAAATTTAATTTTTTTAGTTTTGGCATTTTTTCCTTATAGAACTCGACGAGAGGAGCAACTTTGGTCCTCTTGGCCAACCTCGTATCTCTTACCGTTTGGCCTGGAAAACCTTTTCATTAGTAAAAGTTGAAACTTTGAGGCTCAGTATCTTGATTTTTTATACCGGAAAAGGTACTGAAATTTATACCACGCATAAAGCACACCTAAAAATTAACGTATATTCACAGTTTCAAGAAAATTCTAAGAAAATCGATTTTCTCTAGTATAAGGACGAGAGAACGTCCTTAAGCTTCAATTTGGTACACTGTTAAATTCATAGGGTTAAATTAAACTCAATTTTGAGTAATTTTTAACTGTTCCATAGGTCGCCATTGCTCCTACACAATATATAGTTAATTTAACTAAAACAATGTTAATTTGACTAAACCAATGGAGTTAAAATAATCCTATTTTGTTTCAAACTAATAAATTTTGACGCACATGCTAGTTAAAAATAACAAAATAAATCTAACTCCTGGTATTGGTTTAAACATCCCCTAACCTTTAACAGTGTATAACATAAATATTTAAATTCTAATAAAATCAACAAAAAAATAAACTCCCGTTACCCTATAAGCACCCGGCAATAGGTTTTATCATCTTC